GCCCCTCCACCGCGGCTCCTTGAGGGCTCTGCCCGCCAGGAACCCTCTCCTCCGCAGAACCCATTTGGCTCCTGAAGTGGCCGGGGAGTTCACGTTGAGAAAAATGGCCCCAAACGACTGGGCAGAGCACATGTTCTCCGCTTGGCAACGGCGTTTGGAAATGAAATAGTTTTGTTCGGTGGCCGGGGAATAAAATAATCGATTCTGGGCTAATGGAGCTGGTGGAGGAGCACAGTTGCAAAGTGCTCCGCGTGTCCCCGAGGATGGGGCACGTGCTCCTTCCAGGGCAGGTTTTGCATGTCAATGTGCCACCCGCCGAAGGGGCGGAGATAGTGCCCTCGTGAACTGCCCACGATGGGCCATTTCTGGGGGTGTTCTGTGTCTGTCACTTACAATTAAGTCCGTGAAAAATATTGGCTGTGAGATGAGTGTGGTAACTTGGTTTTTACACCGTAATGGAGAAATCGGGCTGTGGACGAAGGTGCCTTTTCCCAGGAAGGGCTCTGGTTCAGGGGGGCGCCCCCACCGGACCCTGCCCTGTGGTCCTGGGCTGTACTCAGGAGGCGCTGTCTGGGGGTTGTTTTGGCGCAGGTTTGGGGGCATCTTGGTTCTTGGCCACCCCTCCCCTCCCTCCAGCCTCCTGTTCCCTTAAAGGCTAGGGCGGTGGGGCCGGACCAGCCTCCAGGAAGCCGAGTCTCCTGCAGGAGGGACACATCTTTGTGTCTGTTTTTGTGTTTTTTGGAAACAAGAGCGGAGGCTGCCTGGTCCCGGGCTGGCTGAGCTCAGACTACCCTCCTGCTCTGCTCTGTCCCTTCCCTTCCCCACTTTGGCCCCCAACCTGGCCTCCCAGTCTCTCCCCTACTCGCCCCACCCGAGGCCTTCAGGACTCTCCTCTCCACGAGGACTGTCACAGTCTCTCCCCAGTGTGTCCTTCTGGCTTCCTGCAGACCCGAATCCTGCCAGCGCCTGGGTTTCCAGAGCCCACTCTGGGCGTCTGTTTCCAGGTGGCAGCTGCGCTCAGCACCCTGAAGGACTCAGGGCCTGGGGCTGGGAGGAGGGGCCCCAGGGGAGAGGAGGCTGCATTGAGACATCTGGGGGGCTGGGGCCCCCCTCTTAGCCAGGAGTGAACTGTGCTTCGGGGCCTGAGCGCCCCTCTGCCGTTGGGTCCCAGCCCCAGTCCAGGGACGTGCCTCCTCCAGCTGCGCTTTCACGGAGCTGGTCCCCAGGTCGGGAGTCGGAGGGGCCCAGGGTGGGCTGAACAGCCCCCCCCACTGGGTGGAGCACAGGGGGCAGGGCCCAGCTGGGAGAGGCCTAGGCCAGTGTCTTCCTGTGGGGGGGGTCTTGCTGCCCCTCTGCTGGCCTCTCTCCCTTCCTCCCTGTTCCCTCAGATTTAGGGTTTGGGATTTCAGGAGACCACTCTCAGGCTGTGTGACACCAGCAGGACAGCCGACCTCTCTGAGCCTGTTTTCTCCCTCCTTGAGCTGTCGTGGGCCCGGGTGGGGTGGGGTGGGGGTGCCATGTGGCTGCTGCACCCAGGAAGCTGGCAGAGCTGTGGGTGCCTGTGAGGGCGATTTGCTCTCAAGCTTTCTGAGCCTCTGGGGTCACCTGGTCTTGTATCAGAGTCAGCGAGAGGGTGTGGATGGACCCCACATTGAGGGCAGGTGGGGACACTTGGGTACAGTCCCTGAACTTCTGTCCCTCTGCCCACTGGGGTGCCCAGAGCTTGCCCCCTGCTCTGTCTTCCCTCTGTCCTGTGGCCCTGTCCTGCCCAGTGTTGACGTGCCTGGCACAGCCCCACCTTTCCTCCAGCCTTGCTCCCCGCCTGCCCCGCTGACCTCATAGGGGGCCCCTCCGGCCCGGAGCAGGGGCGCGGGTGCCTGCATTCCTGTGGCGGATCCCGTGCGGGGCCCGGCCCGCTGTCCCAGCTCCTTGCGCCCGGCTCCCCCGCCCTGTAATTATCACAGCGGGGCGGGTGGGCGGCTGCTTCCACGCCTCTCCCCCTGTCTCCCCAGGTGAAGGTCATGCTGCGGGTCTGGCCCGCCCAGGGGGCCCAGCGCTCAGCCGAGTCCACGTCCTTCCTGAAGGTGGACCCCCGGAAGAAGCAGGTGACCCTTTATGACCCGGCTGCCGGCCCCCCGGGCAGTGCCGGCCCCCGACGGGCTGCCACCACCTCGGTCCCTAAGATGTTTGCCTTCGACGCCGTCTTCCCCCAGGATTCCGAGCAGGTGAGGGCGGTGCTGTCCTGGGGCCTGGGGGCTGCCAGCTCAGGGCCAGGGGGTCAGAGCCAGGAGGCCCAGAGCTGCAGCGCAGAATAGGCCCTTGATGTTTCCTTTCCGCGTGCCCCCCCAACCTCAGGGCGTGTGTCGGCCCCCTCCCCTCCTGGCCTGGTTCTCAGACTGTTTCCGGGAAGAGCCCGGCCTCTGCGGGAGCTCTCTGACCCGTTGAGCTCTCTGACCCGTCGTGTGTCTGGCCCTGGATGGGTGTGAGCTCTGGGAGTGCTCCCTGCGTGTCCTGTACATGCCGGGACCACGTGTGTGCTGTGGCCTGGGTCCTGCTGTGCCCACAACGGCAGCGTGACCTTGTGTGCCTTGCGTGTGCCTGTCAGTCATGTGACTGGCCGGTTCCTGCTGTGTGTGCTGTGTGTATCCATGTCCTGTCTGTGTGCGCTCAGTGTGCACGTAGAGATCTCTGTGTCCTTGGTCATGTGTGTGCCAGCCTGGCCACCCTGTGAGCTGCCTGCCTGCATGCGATGGGGACAAGACGTGATGGGGGCCCGGAGACGATCCCTTGACTCTGGTGCTTGATGACTCCATGTCCCTCCCCCAGGCCGAGGTCTGCTCCGGGACGGTGGCTGATGTGCTCCAGTCAGTGGTCAGTGGGGCTGACGGTTGCATTTTTTCCTTCGGCCACACGAGCCTCGGTGAGCACCCCCATCGTCCATCTACAGTCCCTGGGCCCCATTTCTGGGAGGGGAGGGGGACAGGGGCATATCCCATATGGGCAGTAGAGGGGGCACTTGGGGTTGGGGACTCTTAGAGAGGAAGCCGAAACCCTGCAGGCATGGAAGACAGGGTGGCCTTGGAGCTTGTCAGAAGAGGCCCCTGTGGTCTCAGTGGCCCCAGGTTGGCCCTGAGAGCCCCAGGCGAGGCCAGAGAGGCAGCTACTAGGTGAGCTGGGCTCTGAGGGCTGGTCAGGCTTATCGTGGGGTGGGCCCTGACCCGTTTGCGTGGCCCTCAGGCAAGTCTTACACCATGATTGGGAAGGACAGCTCGCCCCAGAGCCTGGGTGTCGTGCCCTGCGCCATCTCCTGGCTCTTCAGGCTCATTGACGAGCGCAAGGAGAGGACTGGCACCCGCTTCTCAGTCCGCGTCTCGGCCGTGGAGGTGTGTGGCCGGGACCAGAGCCTGCGGGACCTGCTGGCCGAGGTGGCCTCGGGCAGCCTCCAGGACGCACAGTCTCCGGGTGTGTACCTTCGGGAGGACCCTGTCTGTGGGGCACAGGTACGCAAACGCCTCCCCAGTCGGTCGTGCGGGGTGGCGGTTGGGGTGGGGGGGCTTCATCTTGGCCCCGAGCCACTGAGGCATCGTTTTCCCCTCCTGGCCCAGCTCCAGAACCAGAGTGAGCTGCGGGCACCCACAGCCGAGAAGGCGGCCTTCTACCTGGACGCAGCCCTGGCCGCCCGTAGCACCAGCCGGGCCAGCTGCCCGGAGGACGCCCGGAGCAGCTCCCACATGCTCTTCACTCTGCACATCTACCAGTACCGCGTGGAGAAGTGCGGCAGGGGCGGAAGTAGGTGTCCACTGCGCCCGCGGCCGGGGTCGCCGTCGGGGCAGGGTCACTGTCCCGGGCTGCGCCTCACCCACCGGCTCTCTGGTTCCAGTGTCCGGAGGCCGCAGCCGCCTGCACCTGATTGACCTGGGCAGCTGTGATGGGGCGCCCAGCAGGAGCGGGGACGCCCCTGGGGGCCACCTGAGTCTATCGGCCTTGGGCAGTGTCATCTTGGCCCTAGTGAGCGGAGCCAAGCATGTGCCCTACAGGTGAGCAGTGGGCTCCTTGGTGGGCACTGGACAGGTGGCCCCTGGGGACCAGCCAGGTGCAGATCGGGCGGGTCCGTGTGTCTGGCTCCCGAACTCGTTAGTTCTGTTTCTCCACCACCTGAGGGCCTCACTACCCAAGGCCTGTTGGGGGTCCCCAGCGCCCAGGGAACAAAGTGGGGCAGCAGACCTGCCCCTGGCGATGCAGGCACTGCCCTGGTCTGGCGAGAGGCCTGCCTCCCCCACCGCAGCCCTGCACCCCATGCTGGCCTCTTGTCCTGACCCCCCTTGGCCCCCAGGGAACACCGTCTCACCATGCTGCTGCGGGAGGCCCTGGCCACCACCAGCTGCCACACCACCATGATCGCCCACGTCTCGGACGCGCCGGCCCGCCATGCCGAGACACTCAGCACCGCGCAGCTGGCCGCCCGCGTTCACCGCCTGCGCAGGAAGAAGGTCAAGGTAGGTTCCCTGCCCTACCTGCCCTACCCACCCCAGGGCCCAGGGCCTTCTGTTCTCCTAGGGTCTCTGCCCCGCATGCTGGGGGAGCTGGGACTCCCTGTGTCACAGGGATCACAGGACTGGGGTCACAGGACTGCGCCTACCTGGTTTTGCCCAGAGGCAGGGGCCATGCCTGAGGTCACCCGATGTCCCAGCAGAAGTGGGAGTTGCTCCCGGGGGCCTTACGGTGTAGTGTCATCCCCGTGGCCTCCCCACCTCGCCAACCAGCAGGGCACTTCCTGGGCAAAAGGGCCCAGGGCACCCTGGGATCAGAGGGACCTGGGTCTGGGTCCTGGATCCGGAGTCTTGGGCACAGGGCCATGGGCTCGTGTTCTCGCTTCCCCTGATTCAGTTCTTATTGTTTCCTTGGAAGTTGCTGAGGACTCGGCTGTGCTTAGTGTCCGTGCTGGGTGCCCGAGGCCGGTGGCTGCTGCTGACACGCCCTTCACAAGAGTGTCCTGTGCAGCTGGGGGTGTGGGGGGCAGGAGGAGGAGGTGGGTGGGGATTGGTGCTCACACGCCTGCTCTGCCCCTAGTACGCATCCAGTTCCTCGGGCGGGGACAGCTCCTGTGAGGAAGGCCGGACCCATCGCCCCCCGACCCTGCCACCTTTCCACCCCCGCTCCGGGGCCCTGGACTCCAACCGCCTGGCCCCCGGCTCGCCTGGCGACCCCGACTACTCATCCAGCAGTGAGCAGTCCTGTGACACAGTCATTTACGTGGGGCCCGGCGGGGCAGCGCTGTCAGACCGCGAGCTCACGGACAACGAGGGCCCCCCGGACTTCGTACCCATCATCCCTGCTCTGAGCCGCTGCCGGCCCTCCGGGGGCCCGCGGGACGCCGACCACTTCCGCTGCAGCACCTTCGCGGAGCTGCAGGAGCGGCTCGAGTGCATTGACGGCAGCGAGGGCCCCTCCGGAGCCCTGGCCGGCCCAGCCCGCGGGGGCAGGAAGCCCTCGCTGCCCGAGGCTGCGGCCCCCAGGATGGCCATGGGTGCCCCACTAGCTGTCAGCACACCTCACAGCAGCCCCGGCCCAGACACCCACCGGGGCACCCCGGAGCCCTCCAGGGCCACCAGTGACCAGAGGGAGGATGGCAGCACTAGGCCTGAGCCGCTTGGGCCGGACAGTGTCCCAGGGGGCGGAAGCAGGAGGCCACTGCCCAGCCCAGCCCCTCTGCCACCTGGGCAGCTGGATGCTGACCGAGCCCCAGATGAGTCCGAAGGTGGGGGTGCTGACAGCGTGGTCCGCACCCCCCCGGCGGGTATGAGTGGGCAGGTGGGCCACCCCCGCCCGTCCGCACGGGGCCGCCTGGAGCGGGGCCTGCTGACCACCACAGTGACTCTGCAGCAGCCTGTGGAGCTGAATGGCGAAGACGAGCTGGTGTTCACGGTGGTGGAGGAGCTGTCCCTGGGCGGGCGCCCTGCCAGCCTGGCCAGCTTCAGCAGCGACTGCTCCCTGCAGGCACTGGCCTCGGGGTCGAGGCCCGTGAGCATCATCAGCAGCATCAACGATGAGTTTGACGCCTACACTGCGCAGGCTCCTGGCTCCGTCAGCTCCTGGCTCAGCGAGGTCAGCGTCTGCACGGCCAGCAGCCTGGGCCCCGCCCCGCAGCCGCCCTCAAGGGCCAGCCCAGACCCTTTTAGCCCTGACTCACCAGCAGGGCCTGGCCCTCTGGGCCCCCCAATCCTGGATGGCTCTCCAGAGGACCGCAGCTTGGGGTTCTCAGAGCACGACACACAGGACAGTCCCGGCCCTGTGGCTGCAGCGGCCTTTCCCCGACCTGGCGGGGAGCCCCAGGCTGCGTCCCCACACAGGGCAGCCCCGGCACAGACCATCCACTCCAGCCTTCCCCGGAAACCCAGAACTACCTCAACGGCCAGTCATGCCGGCTGCCCTCGCCTGGCCCTGAGCCCGCCTGGCCATGGAGGCCTGTTGGAGGACCCCTGGCTGCTCCAGGGAGATGAAGGTGGCTCCCTCCAGGTGGCCTCTGCCGGAAGGACCCCCAGCCCGGCCCCAGTGCTGGCCTGTGCCCGGAGGGTGGTGGATGGCTGTGAGCTGGCAACCAGGGTAGCCCAGAGGCCGGAGGCCGTGGCTCAGATCCCACCGCTGCGGAGGGGGGCCACCACGCTGGGTGTGACCACGCCTGCCACATCCTGTGGGGGTGTCTCGGCGGAGGCAGTGGCCTGCTTGGGCAGCTCGAAGGCTGCCCCCAGCAGCAAGAGGAGTGTGGCTTCCAAGGGGGTCGTGTTCCCAAGGCCCAGCGGGTCAGCACCCCCTGCCCCGCCCGTGCGCAAGTCCAGCCTGGAGCACAAGACCAGCCCCATGCCCACCCCTCTCCCGGTGGGGGGCCTGACCCGGACTGGGGCTGCTGCCTTCTGCCGGGGGGAGGAGGAGACCAGGCCCAGCTGCCGGGCCGACCACTCGGTCTCCAGGGCCATGTCCAGTCTGAAGGCCCGGGCCGCCAAGGTGGAGGCCGTGCACCGTCCCACCACCCATGGGTCCCTGGAGGGACTGACGCAGGGCAGCAGCAAGGCCAGGGACACCGCCGGGAGGCCCGCTCGGGCCGTGCCCAGGCTGGGTGTGCCGCCCACCAGCCCTGCGCCCGGGCCCACTCCCGTTTGTAGGGGCAGCCCGGCCAAGGCCGTGGGAACCCCCAAGTCCCCAGCTGGTGGGGGCAAGGGCCGCAGCCTGGCCGCTAGTGGGTCAAGGGCTTTGGGTGCCTCTGCGAAGCCGCTGGCCCCCGTGGCAGGCAGGACCCCCGGTGGCCCTGTGGCAGGTCCCAGGGCAGCTCCCCGGGCAACGCCTGGCCTTGGGGCCAAAGCCAGCCGGGGCACCATCATGGGCACCAAGCAGGCCCTCCGGGCTGCCCACAGCCGCGTGAACGAGCTGGCTGCCAGCGGATCCCCTGGCCGGGGCGGTCCCTGCTGGGGCTCGGCCGACTCGGACAGCGGCAACGACAGCGGTGTCCACGCGGGAGAGGAGCGGCCGCCCGCGGGCCCCGTCCTGCCCTCCCCCTACAGCAAGGTGACGGCCCCGCGGCGGCCCCAGCGCTACAGCAGCGGCCACGGCAGCGACAACAGCAGCGTGCTGAGCGGGGAGCTGCCCCCCGCCATGGGCCGCACGGCCCTGTTCTACCACAGCGGGGGCAGCAGCGGCTACGAGAGCATGATGCGCGACAGCGAGGCCACGGGCAGTGCCTCCTCTGCCCCCGACTCCATGAGCGACAGCGGGGCCGCCTCCCCGGGCTCCCGCTCCCGCAGCCTCAAGTCCCCCAAGAAGAGGGCCACGGGTGAGTGTGCCCGCCCCCCCGGGCACAGCCCCCTGTAGTCTATAGACACACCTGGTGTGTCTGCCTCAGGGGAGGGCCCCGTCTCCGTCGGAGTGGGCGCCGGTGGGCCGCGTGGGTCACCCTGATGGGAAAGGACCGGTGCCCAGCTGACTGAGGCCCCTGCCTCCGTCCCTGGGACCCTCTGTCTCTGGGGGCCTGGGTGGGGTGGGCCCGTTCCTCACCCCGTGGGTGGCTGGGGGGACCTGGCCATTGGCTGGTGTGTGGGAGGGGTCGGCAGGTGGGGAGAAGGGGCCTGGCGCCTGGCTCAGGGCCTGGCGGGGTGGTGAGTTAGGATGTGGTGTGGCCGGTTGGGGCCAGTCATTTGCAGCTGGGAGACTGAGGGTGCATCTGCTCCACGGGGCAGGGCTGGCGGGCAGTTCTGATTCGGGCCCTGTGCTCTCTCGCGTCGGGACCCCGGCCGGGGGCTCGGAGGCTCTGGCCTCTGCTCACCCGGGGCGCTGGCTCTGTTCCAGGTCTGCAGCGGAGACGGCTGATCCCTGCCCCACTGCCCGACGCCGCTGCCCTGGGCCGCAAACCCAGCCTGCCCGGGCAGTGGGTGGACCTGCCCCCGCCCCTGGGTGCCTCGCTGAAGGAGCCCTTCGAGATCAAGGTGTACGAGATCGACGACGTACAGCGCCTGCAGCGGCACCGTGCGCCCCCTCGGGAGGAGCCGGAGGTAGGGGAGGGCGTGCGTGGAGGGCGTCCCTGGCATGGCAGGTGGGCCCCCAGGGCAGTGGCCGGCAGACCTCTGACCTCACCTTTCCCTCTTGTCCACAGCCCTCCCAGGAAGTGGAGAAGGTAGGAATAGGCCCTGAGCCCGTGTTGGCCCCGATGCCCACCGTGGGCAAAGAGTGGGTGGCTGGAGGGGTCCTGCGGCCGCCCCTGTTGTTCTCTGGAGTTGCACCGGGTTGGGGTTCCCAGCACCGTGGCCACCCATCCTGGGCCCGGGTTCCTGGCAGGCTGCTCGGGAGCGTCACCTGGTGCCAGCCTGACCTGTGTGCCCAGGTCCTACCCCTGAGGCCCTCGTGTGCTCACCCAGGCCTGGAGGATGGAAGGAGATGCATGGGCGATCCTGGGGGTGCAGGGAGCCCCTTGGAGCCCTTCGTGCCTGAGTCCACCCTCGGTCCTCTGCACCCAGGGCCTGGCGTGCATCAGCGCGAAGCTGCGGCTGGCCGAGCGCAGGCAGCAGAGGCTGAGGGACGTGCAGGCCAAGCACGAGCTCCTTTGCGCGGAGCTGGCAGAGACGCAGGGCCGGCTGATGGTGGAGCCCGGCCGCTGGCTGGCGCAGTGTGAGTCCTCCCCTCTGCTGGCGGGGGCAGTGAGACCCTCCCAACCCCCCCAGGCACAGGCTTGTGGGAACCTGACTCCACCCCCGCCCTGGTTCCTCTTGGCCACCGTATGCCCCGAGCACCCCACTCTCCTTCCAGAGCTCCAGGCACCCCGCCTGACCAGCTGTCTTCTGTCCCCCCGCCAGTCGAGGTGGACCCTGAGCTGGAGCCCGAGTCGGTCGAGTACCTGGCAGCCCTGGAGCGAGTCACAGCTGCCCTGGAGCAGCACGTGAACCTGTGCAAGGCCCACGTCATGATGGTCACCTGCTTCGACATCAGCATCACCACCCCGGCTGCTACCCCGGGGCCGCAGGAGGTGGACGTCTGAGGCTGGGCACCGGGACTTGGGGGTGGGGACGTGTAGGGCGTGAGGCGGGACGTGGGGTGGATGGAGGATGTGGTGGGGGTTGGAGGGACGTGAATGTGGAGGGCCTGGTGCAGGCCGGGGGGCTCGGAGGTGGTGGAACACGAGGGAGCGGCGTGGACGGGGCCGAGTGTGCACAGGGCTAGGGGACCGTCCCACCCAGACAGCAGTGCAAGTGCCTTTACCTGGAAATGGATTTCTCTTCCTTTTACGTTTGGTGCTAAGGACTCGACACCAGCAGCCGGTGTGCGTGGGCGCGGCCGTGGTCATCGGGAGGTCCGTGGGCTGCGGCCTGGGCCCCCGGCCCTCAGGATTCAGGGTGGTTTTTCCCTTACGGCTGTGTCCGGGCCGAGCCTGCGCTCTGTGGGGTTTCCTCTGCAGGTCGCCCCAGCAGGGGGTGGGTCCTGCTCCGAGGACACTGGAGGGCAGTACCCGGGGCCCAGCCCAAGTTCACACGGCACCTTCTTCCACGGCAGGAATTCTTACCAAAACCACAGCAAAAAGCAAAAACCAACACACAAGAGACGGGGGATAGGGTTTTGTACAGGTTCTGTTAGGTTCGTATTTTTATATCATTTTGCCTATAAACGTGGTATTTGCAGGGGGAATTTGAAGACAGAAGATCTATGTTTTTATGGTTTTCTACGGAAGGCGTCCCTCCGGCTGGGCTCGCTCTTGGGGGGTGCCCTGGGCAGGGCGGCGACCCGGGGGAGCCTGCTGGCCGGTGTGTGGCATTCCAGTCATGATGGGCTGTTCTCCGGCCGTCGGGCGTTTTTCTGAGGGTGCCCACACCTTGTACAGATGTGTAGGTTACATCTTTCCAGGGCTTCTCTTTGTGAATAAAAGACGTGTTGACTGTTCCCGGGACTCCTGAGTCACTGGCGCTCTGCTCTCTTTGGAGGGCGCTGGCAAGGGCCGCAGGGTGGTCGAGGGATGTGTCCAGGGGCCTGGGCTCTTGGGGACAGCAGGGGACTCATCCTAGGCCCACGAGCCCTGCAGCGCCCATGTTGGACCAGCCTGGCAGGTGACCCCCCCTTCTCTGTCCCCCTTCCCCAGCCACTTGGGGTCATGAGACTGAGGCAGGGGGTTGGGGACTGGGCTGTTGGGAAACTGCATTTCCTGGTAGGCCCCTGGCTCCCTTCCCAGGGGTTATGTTATCCAGGGAAATCGAGGCAGGGGTGGCAGTGTGCCCTTGGAGGCCCCTGGTCCCCTCCCGCAGTCTAGGAGATAGACAGCAGGCACGGCTGGGACACATCCAGGCCCAGGACCCTGGGAGCTGGCAGGAAACCCCACCCAGCTCAGCTGGCCCCTGTTGGGGACTGGGGTTGGGGCTCATCCCTTGAGGACTGGGCCCCTGCTTTGTGTTGATACAGAGCCCATGGACCCTTTGGGGGTCACTGTCCCCAGCGTCTGTGGGCCCTTGTGCTCTGCGTCTCCCGGCTGCAGCAATTAGCTGCTCCCCAAGCCCGATTCTCTGCCCCCCATACTCTGAAGGCTGCACCCGGTGCCCTCCCCGCCCTGCACTCCTCTCGCCTCAGGCTGCTCCGACCGTGGCCCTGGCCCTGGCCACCTCGGTGCTGCCCACACCCCGGCTGGGTCTGGGCCCCCCTGCTCCAGGCACCTCAGTGTTGCTCCCCCAGCCCTGGGCCCTTTGCAGCCTGTGTCTGGGACTCACCCTCCAGGCAGTGAGTGTGGGGCCCCTCCTTGGTGGCCCTGCTGCCCTGGGCCCCCTCCACCCAGCACGTCACACCTTGTGTGGTCTAGCCTGTCTCCCACCTCGATGGGGCACCCAGGGGTGGGGCGGGATCTGAGTCATCACTGCACCCCCCATGTGGGGCACAGGGCTGGGCTTCCTTGGTGGCTCGGGTGCTTGCTGGAGGGGGGAGGGAGGGAGGGG